GCGTGTTTGGTGCCGGGCAAACCCCCTTCGCGCCCCTGCCCCTCCCGTGGGACTCGCTGCCGCTCGGGAGGCACCCGAGTCGCGCAGCGGGCCGGGCTGCCCGATTTTCTGCTCGCACCGTTACAGATGCGTCCCAGCTGCCGGCGCAGCACAGCCCTCCTGGAAGTGTAAAATTTCTAACCCCGCAGTCCCTAAGTAACTTTACACAAGCGCCAGGGACAAAAGCTCCGCGGCAGCAGCGCGGCGGAGCCGTGCAGGGGTCATTAGCGGTAATGAAGCCATTTAACAGGCATTTGGTAGCGCGCGGGAAGCCTTCGGTTTCACCCAGGTGGCTTTTGTAGCCGAGGGAAACATGACGAGGGGGCAAAGGCGACTTCTCCGTACCTGCGAATAAAATCATGTTGCTGAGTTAAAGCGAACGGAGCGTAGCGACCTGGGCCCGGGAAATAAATTACAGAAAGGCGGCGAAGGCGCAAAAACCCAGCTTGGAAGGTGCTGGTCTTGAGGAGCAGGTTGGTGTTTCAGCCGGGCCGCAGGACGGGGAAGTTTCCCCTCGATTTCCCTGCGTGGGCCAAGGGGGCGGCAGGCGCTCGGCCTCCTGCCCCGGTTGCGCCTCTGCGCCACCTAAAACGGCCCCGCTCTCGGCTCTGAGGCTTCTCCCGCACGCAAAACGCGTCTTTCTACAAGCGCCGCTGCCCCCGCTCCGCTCCTCTTGCGTCCGGAGCCTTAACTCCTCATCCCGAGGGGATGGAGGTGCTGAGAAACGTTATCCACCCCTCCCACCCCCCAAATAAAAATCTATTTGAGGACCTAAGAAAATGTATTTCTCTTTCTCTTGGCTATTTGGGGGAGGGAGGGGGAAGGAAGGATGGAAACAGCCTGTCACTCAGAGCGGGAAACCCGCTGTAATTAGTGTCGCCTCCGGGCCGGCTCCGCTGCTAGAGCGGCCTCGCAGCGCGAGGGGTCCCTCCCCCCCCGCTCGCGGGGTCCCCAGGGGTCCAGGCCCCGCGCAGCGCCCCGGGCGGCGGGGAGCGGGACGGGAGCCGCGCAAACGGCGCGAACGCCCCGCCGGCGTTTGGCTCCCGGCGCGCGTGGGAGCGGTTTCAGCCCTTCCCGCCCCGCTTCTCCCGTGTCTGGAAACCACCTCCTTATTTATTTGTGTATTTATTTGTGCTTTCCAAGGAGAGGGGAAAGCCCTAGAAAAATCGTACGGGTTCTTCCACGCTGCAGCGACCCAAGCAGAGATATTCTTTTCTTTTCTTTTCTTTTCTTTTCTTTTCTTTTCTTTTCTTTTCTTTTCTTTTCTTTTCTTTTTATCCTTTCTGTGGAAATAGCTCCAGGGTTCCTCATCTGAAAATAAGCTGAGTCTGCTCCGGCTGCCCACCTCCCCCTGCGCTTTGCAGGCAGATTTAGATTTAGATTAGGCAAATGCAGACGCAAAATAGCTACAATTATTATTATTAATAATAAATAGCGACGGGCTTTCAAACCGCGGGGCCGCGCAGGTGCCTGGTGGCCGCGGCGAGCAGGTGGCTCCCGTGGGGTTCCACCTTAAATGCGCTGCGGAGAGAAGGGGCAGCGGGGAGGGATTCGGGTAAAGTTGGTAACTTTGCTCGTGGCCCCTCTGGAAAAATAAGTAAACAAATAAATAAGGGTTGATGAAACCACAACCCTCTTGTCCTTAGGCAGTTATTACCCTTTGATTTGGTGATTGCGGGCCCCTGTTTGCTTTGGCTTCGGGCTTAGGTAAAGATTATCGTTGTTAATATGAAAGGCAAACGCGCTAATGGCCAAGGCGGCGGGTCCGCCGGGGGGAGCCCGGCGCGGGGCTCCCCCCACT